ATGTTGTTAAAGCCAGCCCCTGTGAAGCAAGCTGACAAACTGGTCTTTGATGCTTAAAGTCTGGATGATCTGAATAGTCCATGGAATTCCTGCAACAAGACTGATCAGATTGGAGTACATCTGTCTGGGCCAGTTATGAGGCTAGTCAGAACACCCTTGATCCTGTGCAGCAGACAAGGAAAAATTCAGGGAAGAAATGCATGGATCAAACTACACTCACTGGCCACTTTATTGGGTACACCTTGCTAGTACTGGGTTTGACCCCCTTTTGCCTTCAGACCTGCCTTAATTATTCGTGGCATAGATTCAACAAAGGTATTGGAAACATTCCTCAGCGATTTTGGTCCATATTGACATGAGTTATTGTTACCTTTCTATCATCTCAAACCAGTGTTCCTATTCTCTTCTGACATCAACAGGGCATTTTCGTCCACAACTGCCACTCACTGGATATTTTCTCTTTTTTGGACCATTCTCTGTACACCCTAGAGAGGGTTGTACATGAAAATCGCAGTAGATCAGCAGTTTTTGAAATACTCAGACCAGCCCATCTGGCACCAATAACCATGCCACATTCAAAGAAACATAAATCCCCTTTCTTACCCCCTTCTGAAGCTCAGTTTCAACTTCAGCAAGTCTAGATGCCTAAATGCATTGAGTTGCTGCCATGTGATTGGCTGATTAGCAATTTGTGTTACGAAGCAATTGAACAGGTGTACCTGTAATAAAGTGGTTGGTAAGTGTATATTGATCCCATGGAGCCACCAGTGCATCCTATATGCTTCCATCAAAGGCTCCTTGTACCCCTAGAAACAAACCTGTCCAGGTTATTGTAAAACATGGAGGTCGACATCTGGCATTCCCACCTGTGACAAAGGTCCTGGAACACTTCTGGCTGTAGAGACCACTACCAAGTCAAAGCAGAACCAGAACCAGCCTGCCTTTAAATCATCTACACCTGGAATGTAAATAGCAGACAATGCTAAAATGTGAAATTCTGATTGATGTACACCACTACCATGATGCTGTCCAAGTAAATGCTGATTGTAAGAGCCTCTGGTCATGGTGTTCAGCATTGCAAGGGCAGCCAGGCTGGGCAAAGTTCCAGAATATTGTTCAGAAGAAGAGATTCCTCTGATGGAAGGCTATGACAGACCTCGTGGATTCCAAGCAGAAATTCTGGGCCTGAATGATGTTCTGTGAACAGGTTTGAGTCAAACTCCTGGAACTGTATTGCCATAGGGAAGAAGTTTTGGTGGAGCTGCATGGAGCTCTGGTAATCTGTGTGATTGAAAGAAATGAATTGATGAAGGCAGGGAGCAGCCTCTGGAAACAATCTCCCACACCCAAACATCTAAGATGCTGGTTTCCCAAATGTGAACAGAGGCTAACACACTAGTGCCAACTTAGAAAAGTGGTGGGCACCCCATGCTGAAAAGGATTTATCTGAGGCTTGGGAGACTTAGAAATCCAGGATTAGTGATTAACTGGGAGAGAGGCTTGGACTTGGCTTCACGTGGAAAGCACTCCATGTCTCACATGATAGAAGCACAATGTAGAGCCCAGTGCCCAAACATTACATTCCAAGCTAGCCCGTCAAAGTCCAGCCAGCAGGGTCCAGGTACGACACTGTAAAATCGCTTAGGAAAGACCTGCTCAAACAGCTGCTCCAAAAAATTAAAAACAAAAAAGACCAGCTCAGGCAGCAATGGAGCAAGAAATTTTTTTTTTTTTTTTTTTTTTAACAGTTTACAGCACTGTTAACAAAATGTAAGGGGCCAGTTGCCTACTGGGCACTTATACCCCCCTTCCTGCCCAGGCCAATTTTCAGCTTTCAGGGCTGTCGCACTTTGAATGACAATTGCGCAGTCATACAACACTGTGTGACAAAAAATGATAATTTCATATGGGTACAAATAGAGCTTTCTTTTGGTGGTATTTAATCGCTGCTGTGGGTTTTATTTTTTGCACTATTAACAGAAACAAAGAAACTTTTTTTTCTTCAAATTTTTTGCTCTTTTTTTATTATAAAATTTTGCAAACAGGTAATTTTTCTCCTTCACTGATGTGCATTGATGAGGCTGCACTGATGGACCCCGATAGGTGGCACAAATAGGCATCACAGATAGGAAACATTGATGGGCACTGATGGGTGGCACTGCTAGGCAGCACTGCTGGGTACAGGTGGGAGTCACTGCTGGACACTGATCATCAGTGCCCTGATTGATCAGTGCCGATCCATCCTCTGACAATTACCGGTTATCAGTAGTACTTTCCTCACACTGACAGCATGAGGAAAGTGCATTTACCGTAGGGCACAGCGATGACGGAGATCTCCAGGGATGCGTTCTGGGAGGACGTCATATGACACCCTCCCAGCACTGGACAATCACGCTGTAGCCGTCATTCAGCTATGGCACGATTGGCAAGTGGTTAAAGTGATTGTAAAGCTTTATTTTTTTTTTTTTTGTAATAAAATAAAACATAACATGTTATACTTACCTGCTCTATGCAATGGTTTTGCATACAACAGCTCTGATCCTCTTCTGGGGTGCTCCGCTGGAACTTCTTACTCCTCTTTGGTGAGTGATCCCAAAAGGAAGCTATTTCTTATGGGGGCACTCGTGCAGCTCAATCTAGAGCTGCACTGCCTGTGTTTGTAGAGACAGACAGCTTAGCTTGGCCCCGCCCCCCCCACTCCCTCTTCACAGGATTTGACTTGACAGCAGCAGGAGCCAATGACTCTCACTGCTATCAATCTGCCTGGTGAGGAGGGAAAGAGCAGAAAGAGCCACTGCTCCCAGCCACAGCATTGGATTGAGATCAGGTAAGTATAATGGGGGCTGGGGAGATTCTGTGGCACAGAAGGATTTTTTTAGCTTTATGCACAGAATGCATTAAGATAAAAATAATTAAGCCTATGCAACCACTTCAAAGCAATTCCATTGCAACTTTTTTTTTTTTACAAAATGGGGAAGAATAAAAATTAAAGATCACAGGCAGAATTTCAATTCCCTCATATCCTGTCCCATTAAAGCCTGTAGAAATGGAGGTGCAGTGGTCACTAGTACAGGAAGGCAGGAGAGAAAAAAAAAAAAAAAAAAAAAAAACACACAAAACGCAAACATACATTGTAATAAGTTCTAATCCTTCCATGCGCAACTAAATGTGCTTTTGCCTACATCCTTGTGGAGATATCATTAGTTCCTGTCTTGAGCAGAAGCAAAGACAAATTTGCTACTAGGGATACAGACTACAACAAAAGACTGACAACAGCTCTAACTATTGCCCATACTATTCAAGGAAATACGTGTTGGTTGGATTTAAAGTAAATAAATACAAAAGGATGCCATTGCTTTCCATCTCCTGAAAATGCTAGTGATGGTTACGGTGAACCAATACATTCAGGTGAAGTGACAAACTCCTGATCTGCTTTCTCGTTCTTGAGTCAAGTACCAAAACCGATGATTCAAACCTGACACACAGGCGGCTAGTATTTACAAAATGAGACTCCAACAATAGCAGTCTCAATTCTTCATCAGTACATGGTTTCTCTAAAATAACAGGTCTGAACAATGCAATGACTATTTACTCTGTTGTAAAATTTTAAAACTGAACCACATTGTCAAAAATGCTGCATTCATTTTTTTTTTTTTAAGCACTATGCAGACCATTAAATGGATGGAGTGCCATAATTCTACGCATGTTAAAAGCCTGAATGGGACCTTAAGCTATGCTGGTTCTCACTACAAAAATAAACAGTCTAGTTTAAAATGAGCTGCATTGTTTAACAAAAAGCTTACAGTACTGTTTTAAAGGAATGAGAGATACTTAGACCAAAAAGTACTGTATTACTTTCCAATACACAACTATTTTTTGTGTGTCAGTGTTTTTTTTTTTCATCAAAGCGATTTCCAGTGGTTTTCAAAAGTTCAGTTTTAATAAACAATTCTCACATTAAGAAATCTTACGAAACGTGGCTTGCAGTGGCAGAAGGGTGCACTGTAAACTTCTGTAGGAACAACCATGAATTCAGGACAGAACATAAAACATGTGTAGTTTTATTGCAGCAGAAATCTCAGTGCAACAAAGCAATGGAAAAAAAATAAGAACACAGGCACCTGTTTATAGGTGTTTCGCTCCCAGACAACAGCGAATTTAGTCCATTCCAGAGCAGGTTATGCTGTACAAAACAAGTCTACCCTTAGGTAGATGCTAAGGCAAATTCTTGAAATTCTGCCATTGTGCCATCTTTGCGCTGTCCTTTCCTTCTGTCTTTATACAAAGTCTGAGAGGTCACAAGTCAGTGAATAGTACAATCTGTTGTCATTGCTCTCGCCCCCCGATTGTGCCTTTTATTTAGTGTTCTTGGGGCGAACAGCTGAAGATGAAAAATATTGGTGAAAAAAAAAAAAAAAATACTAGCACCATTCCTGGAACATCTCCAACAGGAGACAAGAGAAGGCCTGTGTAAAACAAGAACATTGTAGTGTAACAGCAACAGTATACCCTCTCCCTACTCCAGGAAAGAAGAAATAACCTTTCCCCTGCCAGTTTGATGTGCAACATAATATCAACAAGTACAAAGTTGCAGGCCTCACTGACAGAAAAGATTTGCAAAACTGCAGCTTAGGATCCCAATTACATGTCAAAAATATGTACCTTTTTTAAAATTAAGGAGCTGTAAGAGCAGATTTATAATAGAATTAAAGTGTGTATGTGGCTGGTTCAACATTAGTTTATATGAAAATTCATGGCACTCGAAAAACTGGAAAAAAAAAAAAAGAAAAAAGAAGAAAACAAAAAACCATAAGACACGTGGGTAAGTTTTTTTCATTGTAAATTTATAAGGCTTGTGGTGCTTCATTCCCATCAGTCGTCTTCAACTTAAAAAGCAATGTCTTCCTTTTCAACAGATTATCCTTCTCTATACAATGACGCCATGAGATGCGAAGGGATACCCTCCGACTGAGGATCATACACTTTCCCTGGCAGACAGCTCAGAGAAAGTCAAAGACCCCCGAATTCTTGGCTGCTTGATAAAAGAAACACAATGGTAAAAAAAATTCTAATAAAATAAGATGTAAATAAAGAGTAGCTCCATTCCACTACTGAGGCCTTTTTTCTTTTAGATGCAATATTAATTTGTTAAAATCAATCTGTTACAAAAGCCAAGCAACAAGGCAAGAATGCGGCCAGCCTTCTCCCTCTGCACAAACACACAGTCTGGAGCAGGGTCTGAGAGATTAGGTGCATGGATTAGTGGCAGGTGAGAGGATCCGTGCGAGCATCACACACACAGCTCATTGAGACTGGATTAGCCTCTCCACTTCGGTTCTTAGTATCAAGATGTAAATAATAATTAGAAAATTCTCAAATAAACACAAACTTCTAAAAACAAGGTCAAAGTTGTAAAGTTTGCTCACATAACATCCACAAAGAACTCACTAGGATTGCCCATGGCCATGCGGAAAGACTGTCTACTAGCGGTGAGTTCTGGTGGGACGGAGGCTAAATCACGGCTGGGTGGGGCTCCTGGTGGCCCCATCACTGGGGGAGGTGCTGGCATCATCATCATTGGAGGACCATAGAGTGGGGGTACACCAGGGGGACCATAAGACTGGTGTGTGTGGTGGCTTCGGATGCTGTGTGCAATGGAGTGGTGGCTCCTGTGACTATGTTCACTAGCTGGCACTGAACGTTCACTTGCTGCTCTTTCTCTGCGCATACTGCTCCGTGTAGTGTGGTCTGATTCACTTCCACTCCCTCCAGATTTCGAATCTCCAGCCTTTGTGTCTTTGTCTTTTCTTTTTTCTGTACTACTGCGGTTGGAACCACTACTTCTGCTACCTGGGAAATTAAAAAAAAAAAAAAAAAAAAAAAAAAACACAAAATTAACAAATTTACAAAGTATAGGAGGTTATAATTTTTACTTATGGAAAATCTTAGGCTACGTTTATGCTTGCATCCAAACTGCAGCACTTCTAAAAAGTGATCTGCATTTGTGGCTTTTCAAAAATGCTGGACAAGCGGAGGTAAGGCGATATGATGCTGCCTCATGGCCCATTTTAATCACATAACTGCCACACCAAAGTGCCAAAAGCGCTTCCCCAGTCACTTGAATGGTTCATGTTTGCTGGGCTTACTGCCAGCCAAATTTGGCAGGACTGATAGTTTTAGCCACAGGTGCAAAGCATCACAACCATGGCATGTTAACATCCTTGCCCACTGTCATTGCACTTAATGGGGGAGGGCACTAGACGAGTATCAACCACATGTTTTTAATGCCCCCCCAATTGCAAAAGCTTGACTTTATTGTTCGCTGCATGTCCATACACTTTAACAAAAATGGAACAAACACACACTAAAATGTCCTAAAGGAAATCTGTAGTAAGAAAATATGGAGACTGCACTTAGGTTCACGAGTAGTAGTTACTAATTTTTTGACTGCAACATCAGTGGGATGAAAAGCACACATTCCAGACACTGTCTTCTTTGATGAAGATTGCCATTGCTGCCCTCTCCTGAAAATGCAGACTAATTGCGGAGACATCAAGGACGCAGATCCGAAAAGTCAGATTTTTGATCTGCATACTAAAGCCACTAGATCTTTGTGAGAGGTATGGAACAAATATATTTAATGGCAGCCTCCATCTTTCTTCATACAAGTTTTTTTTTAAAGGATCTTGTGAGCAGTCACCACTGGAATGCAGGTAGGTCACATTTGTCTGTTTGACAGTCCAACTCTATTGCAGAAGTTCAAAAGTGTGTCAATAGTTAAGTCTACAAACTGTCAGCCAGTTTCATTGCTAATTATGAGAAACATTATGTACAGACTGAAGATAAATGTACAAAACACATACATAAGGGCTCATTCACACAGGAGAGGAAAAAATGCTTTTGTGCAAATCTAAATGCAGCACTTTAGTAATCAATGAGCCCCTACACACAGCTGTGTCTAACATAAAAATGGTCCAAACAAAACCAAAAAAAAAAAAAAAAAAAAACACACAAAACCACACACAAAAACCACAAGCTGTATCTAGGACTACACAGATCTGTTGATATCACACATGTAAATGCACGCACACATTCATAAGGAAGCTATCAGAAGAACTGTACATGTCTAAACGATGTATACATCTAAAGATGAGTGCTTTTGGCACGTATTTTATGCATACTCTGCGAGCAAGAACCTGCATTCCATGCAGAAAATACTCATATGCCAGTGAAAGAGGCCCAATATACACACACACACACACTTTTACCCAGTTATCACAATGTATAGGAATATACTACTGAAACTAGAGTAAACACTACAGTTGTGTGTAAATTAAGGAGTGCAGCACTATTTACTATCTTAGACAAAACCCAGGAAAGTGGAGCTTGCAAGTGTCACGCACCTTGTTTAACCACTTCCCACCCAGCCTATAGTAAAATGACAGCCCAGGAGGGCTGTCCTTGTCAATCCAGGAGGGCCGCGTTGTGGCAAGAACTGTCACCAGCTGTGTACCTTAGACACAGCCGAAGACAGATCTGTGTACCGGCCCCCTTGCCAGTAATATGTGTCCTGCTGTGACCAATCACAGCAGGTCACATGACAGTTGTAAACAATGGATGACTTCCTTTCATGCCATCCATTGTATAAAAGTGTGTCTAGCTGTGAACTGTCTCAGTGATTACATGCACAGGCTAGGCCAATCACAGCCCATCTGTGTCATGCGATTAACCATGGCCAGTCACAGCTAATCACAACAAAAAAAAACAGAATAATCCGATTTAATTCAGTTAAATGCTTGCTTATAGCAAAGAAATTCCTTGCTATAAGCAATCAAATTGCGTGAGAAAAAAAAAATACTGACCACTTCCCAAAGTTGTACAATATTACTATGGTAACAATATACTACTTTGGTCATAGTGTAATATGAAAATAAAATCTTAAAAAAAAAAATTAATAAAAAAAAAATAAAATGAAAAAAAAATAAAATGTTTCTCGTACTGTCACCAGTCAGTGTCTCTGATCACCGCCACACCAGTTATATGATGACGCTGTGCTGTACTGTTGACAGTATGTAAAAAAATTTGTGAAAATTTTTTTTTTTACATTTCGCCATGTCTCTTATGAAATATGTTGAACGGTCTCCTTTGCAAAAAGGGGTCATTTACGGGATATCTATACTGTTTTGACATTTTTGGGCCTCAAGAAATTAGATTGGCTGTCAGTACTTTAAGATTGATCAATTTTCAGATATATCCCATAATGTCTCTCTCTCTCCATATCAACTATATTGTCTGCATCTTCTATAGGTACAATACCCATGCAAAGTATGTCTGCATCCCTAGTCAGTATTGCAACTATGCCCCCTGTCCAGTCCTGCTCTATTGAATGGCAGCAATTTCCCCCCACTAGCCTTCTAGTCATCGTAGAAACATCCTGTAGACAAAGCACTACTAAGTTGAATGACAGCGGATCCCAGTAGGAGACTAGAAAAACTGCAACGTACTTCCCCTGCTTTGTGCAGTGTACTGTGCACATGCCGTAACAAACCTGGGAGAAAGCTGTGCATCCCTAGCAGAAAAGGGCAAATGGTAGGTGGCGGGGATTAAAGGCAGTGTACTTTCATGTACTATCATGAATGGAAGAACACAGGGGTGATTGACAGGAAAATCCCTTTACACATAGTGGCAGAGAGGCCAGAGCAAAAAAAATACAGGTGGAGAAAGGAGAGCTGGGACTAAGCACTGCAGTAAAGGGGCCAGCTGCTACCTACTGGGAAGATGCCTTCATGACTTCACAGGGCTTCCCTGCAGTATTTGACATTTTACAGTAGCCCGCAGACCTATTATGCAGACCCCTGCTGAGGGGAAGAGAATGTATGATGTGCAGTCATGCGACCAGCGAATTACACATTTACTTTTTAACAAAAATGATAGTTGGCAAATAATATTGCTGTATTACCATGTACTTTAATAACAGTGTGTTCCAAAAGATTAACTTTGGTATACTGTGTACCAGAGAAATTATTTTAATAATTCTAAATGGAACAAGACATAGAATACGTCACAGTTGTTTTACCCTGTCTTTAGAAAGTCTTGTGTGACATAGAAATGAAAAAATTGGCCAAAAGAAAGCCTTAGTTATCCCCTCATCCCCACATACTAGCTCAGGGGTGGCGAACACGCGGCTCTTGAGCCGCGTGCGGCTCCCGGCCAAAATGAATGCGGCTCTTTGCCTCTTATCATATTTTGTATACTGTGGCTCTTTGCCAAGTTTCATGTTTCTCTTCTTTTTACCTGTTCCTCTATCCAGCGGCGCGCTGTCTTCCGGCTTCTGTAATGTGGGCACTGGGCATGACAGCCGGGTGCCAAGTGCGCATGCGCAAAAAGCAGTGCTTTTTGTGAATGGTAAGGCGGTACCTGGGACACATGACAGATCCCAGAAGCCGCCGGACCAATCACAAAGCGCAAGTGCTTCTCGCTCATGCGCACTGGGCACCTGGCTGTCATGCCGAGCGCCATTACAGAAGCCAGGAAGACAGCGCGCGGCTGGATCGAGGAACAGGTAAGATCAAACAAAAACTCTGCGGAAGTAAGAGCGGGTACCTGTCAAATTCAGGTACCCGCTCCCCACCTCCCCAAAGGTCAGCAGTCATCTGTACTGTCCGCAGTCTCTGGTCATCCCTGTGCTGTCCGCAGTCTCTGGTCATCCCTGTGCTGTCCGCAGTCTCTGGTCATCCCTGTGCTGTCCGCAGTCTCTGGTCATCCCTGTGCTGTCCGCAGTCTCTGGTCATCCCTGTGCTGTCCGCAGTCTCTGGTCATCCCTGTGCTGTCCGCAGTCCATTAGTTCAGAATTTTTTTTTGTATACTTGTGTGTTAGAGTGAGAGAGAGAGACAGGTGCCACAGCAACCTCCAGGGTAGTTGATGTGTTAACTCTGGCTAAGTTGCATTTGATGTGTGTGTTGAGGGTGGACACTTACCTTGAAATGAACACATTGTTGTTTTGTAAGGGGAAGAAAGTGTTATGGTGAATAATATGGTTTTAATTATGTGTTTTTGTGTGAGTGTTTGTCTGTTTTGGCAGGTCACTGCGTGGTGTGGCTCTCTGACTTTCACAGTTTAAAATTTTGGCTCTTTGTGTCTAACTTGTTCGCCACCCCTGTACTAGCTGATCCAATACCTGCAAAATACTAAGGGCTAGGTGTTTGGCAAGATCAAACAGATGAAGTTGCAAATGAGGGACAGGAACAGGTTAAGACGGAGTTCACTTTCCACACTCTAAATGAGAACTACCTCACGATAGATTGCAGAGTATGGGCGAAGTGATCAGCATGCCCCAAAGTAAGAGGGACACCCAACCTACAGTTGGAATGTGCCTAACTGCTGGAGTATATTAGAGATACTGGGAGATCTCTAGGCAAGAGTCAGTAGAGCAGTCATCTAACTGAAGATTTTTGTAGAGAGAGGGTTGTAAGCCAGGGAGGTATGTGTTATGGCAAGAATATGTAAAACGGCTCTAGTAAACGGAGCCAAACTCCCTATATAGTTAGTCCCAGTGACTGAGTAGAGAAAACTTGGTACGAGCTACTGCAAAAATAAAAATATCCAACAGCAGAACCTGAGAGAAACGATCAAGGAGGGGCAACTGAGTGATGCTAATGAGAGTATGGTCACATGGGACCAGAAAAAGTGAATAAGAATGATGTCAGGATTAGGCCCAGAAATCCCAGATGGTACATGGTCAGAGGAAAAGCCCAAGTACGATGCAGGATCAACCAAAAGGGGCAAGTGTGAGCACTTGAATTAAGACTCCGGAGCCTTATAGTAAAAGGTCTCCAAGGCACCTTTTGATATGAGGTTCAGAATGTAAATAAGGGCCTAATAAAATAGCACCACAGAGTATGGCAATGTTTTCAGCAGTGCTAGGACTATGTTGCTGTGTGAATAGACAGGGGGTATACCTCATTACATTGTATTTTCCACTAAAGCTAAAAGAAAAAAAAAAAAAAAAAAAAAAATCATAAGAGCGATATAGTGGCTTATATACAGGATAGCTGGCAGAAGCCTAGCTACTGCAGTAATTAGGACAAATGTTTTAAGACAATGATGGGACATGTGTCTCTAAACAAACAAGAAGCCCTGTGCAGGATTTGGAAATCCTTGTAAATCTTCCTAAACAGGAAAGAGAGATGACTACCCCTTGTGACTGTAAATGAAGTATAGGGAAATTGTTTTCTAATACCTGTTCCTACTTGCTGCTTCACAAAAAGCAGGCAGAGTACAGCAATATAGCGCTTTTGTGTACCTCTTCAAAATACAGTGAAATAAAAAGGCAGGGATATTTTTGCTTTAAGCTTGAGAAAATGTCAGTAGGTGTCCCCCCACCTTCAGGGGTGGGGGCATACCTTCATTGTGACAAAGACTTCAGGGGAGGTCCAGTAGGTTTAGAGGTGAAGGGAATGCTGCAAAAGGTTGGACCTGCAGTAGATGGCACCTGCAGGTGGAAAGCACACATAGGGTAGAGGAGGACAAATCAACAGGAAGTAGCGATTGTGGATAGTGATGCCGGAACTCTCTTCCCTCTGCAGCCACCTCAATTTATTCCTTAAAGGAATTTCCCAAAGAGGTCCAGAGTAGGAACAGTCCATCTCTTTCAGAATTTCTCTTCCATAGGTAACAAGGCAGCAAACATGCCAGGAGGCATGAATAAACCCTAGAGTTAGGCCAATGAAAATTTTATGGAGAAGAGAGGCAAAAAAGTATTCCTGGCTATTGGAACCGGTCGTTTCCAGAAGTGGAGATAGCCTTTGGAACAGATCAGACATAGTAGCAGAGAGTTCTGATTTACTTAGGAAGCCCAATTCAGAGGGCTGGAATGGTGTCAGTGTAAGACCTTACTCCAGACAAAGGGAACAGCTATCAACCTTCAAGGCCTGCAGCGAAACTCTCGCCATTTGTCCTATAAGCTCCCACTACCAAGTGCAAGTAAACTTTTGTGTTTCAGGTATTAGGCAACAGGTGAGACAGCAAATAATCAGCTTGCATCGGCAAAAAAAGGTCAGCTGGAACATCACAGTCAGAAGTCCTATGAACCCTACATTGCTAGCCAGAGTGGAACGTTTTAAGTAGTAAGGTCGAAAAAAAAAAAAATGACCACCAAATTACCTACAAGACTAAATAAATCAAGGTAATACCTAGAGAAAAAAAAATCCACAAAAATGTGGATTACCCCATAATCTGTGCCCTTAATAGTGCCTGTGTAGTTAGCACTGTGATGGGTCTTGTAGGTTAAAAAGAAATTATGTAGCGTGTACTACATATCCAAGTGATAATTAAACAAGACATGAATAGAACAGGTGACATCCGAGCAGAAGTGCAGCAGGGTGCCTGTCAGAAATGGGTACCTAGGTACCCGCTTTAAAAGAGATTTACAAAAAAACAAAACCTCTGAGGTAAAGGATGTGTAGGGAGGGGAAGAGAAAGAGCGGAGCCCTTTTTTTTTTTTTTTTAACATGAAGTTACACTTTAAAAAGATAAAAAACACATGGGGAAATGCCTGTGTATTTTGTATTCCCTTGACACGTGCTTCAGTGATGTATTACCTGTTACAGAGCTGCAATGATGTGTACTAGGGATGCACTGAAATCTCGGTGGACAAAACGTTTCGGCTGAAAACACCCCTATCTGCCTTTGGCAGACATGAAATTAAGCACCGATACAGGTGCTGAAAATACCCCATCCCCGCCCCCTTGGTAGTTCTCAGCCTTACCTGAGAACAATCGAACGATCCCGATGCTGGGCATAGAGATAAGTGAAGGAAAGATGGCCTCCACTCATCTCTATCCCCTTGGAGGACCGGAGCGATGTCACTTCCGGTCTCGGTCCCTTTTTTCCTTTTTTTAAAGCATTAGATGCTTTTTTTTTTAATCTAATGCTTTACAGTGTAGAGGAGAGACATGGGGTCTTATTGACTTCATATCTCTCCATAAAGAGGACCTGTCACTACTTATTTCTATCACAAGGGATGCATGCATTCCTTGTGATAGGAATAAGTGATTAAAAGTTTTTTCTTAAAAAGGGACAGTGTAAAAAAAAAATTAAATAAAAACAAATATTTTAAAGTGCCCCCGTCCCCCCCTGCTCACGTGTAGTGGTGAATGCATACAAAGGCCACACCCACATATGTAAACAGTGTTCAAATATGAGGTATCGCCACGAACGTCAGAGCAAGAGAATTAATTCTAGCACAGGACCTCCTCTGTAACTTTAAACTGGTAACCTGTAGAATTTTTTAAAGCCTCACCCATGGAGACTTTTTAAGTACCGTAGTTTTATACCATTCCACAAGTGTGTGTAAATTTTAAAGTATGACGTTGGGTATCTATTTGCTCAGCGTAACCATCATTCATATTTTAGAAAAAAAATTACGGTATAGATAGATGTGTTTTTTTTTAAATCATCAAAGTACATTTCTTTCCAAAAAAATTGCGTTTGAAAAATATATTCATTTTTAAAAACTGTCCATTTCGGTTTGCATCCTGAATTTTCAGTTTCGGCACCAGAATTTTCATTTTGGTACACCACTAATTTTTACTTCTTATAAAACAAGTCATTTTCTTAGAAAGTGCATCTTTATTCATGCTCACCTTCACTGTGTTGGCTGCCAGCACTTCCACCACCATAGATGTATCCAGGATCTGGAAAACCTGGATGTGGGCTGTAGGGATGAGGCAATGGATACTGATACTGAAATGCCATTGGCCACGGAGCAGCTCCTGGGTGCGGTAAGGGAGCAAGTGTGTCCTGATCAGATGTTCCACTCGACCCATCATGGTCATTAAGGGAGAGATTTGCCATATCTATGGATTAAGAAAAAATATGTAATTACATTCAGGTTCTGATGTGTGATAAAATATAACCACAAGATGGCACTGTGATAAAAGTAGTGGTGGTATACAAAAATAAAGAAGTACAATTATAATACATACTGCCACAAAGATCTCCAAAAATATAGTAGCACTGCTCAGAGAAAGTGATTTTATTGACAGTGTGGCGGATGTATCCAGCTTTAAGTAGGTTACTGGCATATTTCCGTGCTTCCCGCCGATCCGTGAAGCCCTCCACATGGTTATAAAGCCAGTCCACCACATCAGAACCTGGAATAAAACAGGAGCAAGGTATCATTCATTGGAAGCAATATTTCTACCAGGAAAGGAGGCTGTAAAATTAAAAAAGGGCCATCAGTTAGGTGTGCACGAACTGCTCTAATAGTATTTTTCTGTGTAAAAGACTAACTGTACCATCAGTCTGGTCTTAGCAGATAGTATCAGATGTCGGAGGCTGTAAACGGACATGCATTTGTTTACACCCTCCACTCCAAAGAGGACAATAGAGGGTCCGAACGGGTCTACTGAAGAAAAAAAACAAAACCCAAAAAAAAAAAAAAAAACTGACTGGCAGTCCTGATTGGTGTATCTGTGTGAAATGGGCCTAAGGTGGCAAGTTTAACAGCGAACCATAGATAGGGCTTAACACTTGAACCTATACCCAGGGAGTGCAGGGGTACACAGTATGTAATATATATAGTACAGGTGTATGCAACATACAGAGCACAGGTGTGGGCAACGCACAGAGGACCAGGGCTTGATGTGGGTAATGCATAGTTTGCAGGTGTCAGGTGTGTTTAGTATACATAGTGCAGGGGTCAGATGTATGTCTAGGGATTTTTTTTTTTTTATTGTGATTAAAGGCTTTCTAATGGAGAATCTTTTTAATAAGTGATTATCCTACAATACCTGACATCAGCAGAACCAGCACAAATCAGTTCTGTTCCAAGCCTGCTTTTATCCCCAGTATGATTTCCTATCATACTGATGAGGTTTTAGATGCTCCATGCAAGGAGGCAGAAGTCACAGTATCCTCAGTAAACTTTTAACAACCTTCTTAAGAAACAAGCTGCAGCAGTAAGAACTTTGCAGCCCAGCTGGTGAAGCAGTCCCTTATTTTAAATGAAAAAGGAAAGAGGCTGTATAGATCCCTCCCTCTAGCTGGTTGTCCCCCACACAGAGCCCCCAGCTATGCTCACTGTCTCTGGCCTTGTTTTCCTCACAATTCTCCAGGACCTGGAGAAAGCTAAGCGGTTCCTTAGGTTGATACGAGATCTTCCGTCTGTCGTGTGTATTGTTGGCACTGCAGCCAACTCCTTGGGAGGGCAGAGCAGTCTCCAGATATGCAGAAGCAAACTGACAGGTGTGGCTATAGCTCAAAGAACAGCTACTCAGTGGGAAAGATTTAATAAAGCTGGAGCACACAGAATCTTGTGCAGCTGTGCATAGTAACCAATCAGCTTCTAACTTCAGCTTCCTTAATTAAGCTTTGACACGAAAACATAGAAGCGGATTAATTACTATGCACAGGTGAACTACCATTCCTTGTACCAGCCTAAAGAACCACTCAACAGAAAAGGTGTTCAACTGTCTATACAAAGTGAAATAGAATTTGCTTTAAAAAAACAAAGTGGTTGATAATGATGGACAAAACCTTTTTTTGGTCAATACATGCAAGTGCGCTGCATATATGGGACATGCAAAAATTTCTCAATGTATACAGTCTTGTGCCATTGTTTAGCAGTTGGCACATCCATTTGCCAGTTCAACACAACATCCTAAGTCACCTCTTACAGATATCTTGCTCATTTGACTGTAAATAATCATTAACATCCTCCAATTAGCAGAGAGGGAGAAGAGAGTAAACCTGAAAGAAGAAGCAGCACTAGAGGAAGTTCTTGGTTGTGAAGTGTGTCAGATGTGTATTAACAAAAGTGGTTTTAAAAAAAAATACAAACTCTTAACATACAGTCATGGCCGAAATTGTTGGCACCCTTGATATTTCTCCAGGAAATCATGTATTTCTCACGAAACGTATTGCATTAACACATGTTTTGCTATACACATGTTTATTCCCTTTGTGTGTATTGGGACAAAACAAAAAAAGGGAGGAAAGAAAGCAAATTCGACATAATGTCACACAAACCTCCAAAAATGGGCTGGACAAAAGTATTGGCACCCTTTCACAACTGCGGATAAATAAGAATGTTACAAGCATGTGATGCTCCTGTAAACTCACCTGGGGCAAGTAACAGGTGTGGGCAATATAGAAATCACACCTGAAAGCAGATAAAAAGGAGAGACGTTCACTTAACCTTTGCATTGTGTGTCTGTCTGTGCCACACTAAGCATGGACAACAGAAAGAGGAGACGAGAACTGTCTGAGGACCTGAGAACCAAAATTGTGGCAAAATATCAACAATCTCAAGGTTACAAGTCCATCTCCAGAGAACTAGATTTGCCTTTGTCCACAGTGTCGCAACATTATCAAGAAGTTTGCAACCCATGGCACTGTAGCTAATCTCCCTGGTCGTGGACGGATGAGGAAAATTGATGAAAGATTGCAACGCAGAATAGTCCGGATGGTGGATAAGCAGCCCCAAACATGTTCCAAAGACATTCAAGCTGTCCTGCAGGCTCAGGGAGCATCAGTGTCAGCGCGAACTATCCGTCGACATTTAAATGAAATGAAACGCTATGGCAGGAGACCCAGGAGGACCCCACTGCTGACACAGAGACATAAAAAAGCAAGACTACAGTTTGCCAAAATGTACTTGAGTAAGCCAAAAGCCTTCTGGAAAACGTCTTGTGGACAGATGAGACCAAGATAGAGCTTTTCGGTAAAGCACATCATTCTACTGTTTACCGAAAACGGAATGAGGCCTACAAAGAACAAAACACAGTACCTACGGTAAAATATGGTGGAGGTTCAATGATGTTTTGGGGTTGTTTTGCTGCCTCTGGCACTGGTGCCTTGACTGTGTGCAAGGCATCATGAAATCTGAGGATTACCAAAGGATTTTGGGTCGCACTGTAGGGCCCAGTGTCAGAAAGCTGGGTTTGCGTCCAAGATCCTGGGTCTTCCAGCAGGACAATGACCCCAAACATACGTCAAAAAGCACTCAGAAATGGATGGCAAAGAAGCGCTGGAGAGTTCTGAAGTGGCCAGCAATGAGCCCAGATCTAAATCCCATTGAACACCTGTGGAGAGATCTTAAAATTGCTGTTGGGAAAAGGTGTCCTTCCAATAAGAGAGACCTGGAGCTGTTTGCAAAGGAAGAGTGGTCCAAAATTCCGGGTGAGAGGTGTCAGAAGCTTATTGATGGTTATAGGAAGCGACTGATTTCAGTTATGTTTTCCAAAGGGTGTGCAACCAAATATTAAGTTAAGGGTGCCAATACTTTTGTCCAGCCCATTTTTGGGGTTTTGTGTGACATTATGTCATATTTGCTTTTCTGCCTCTGTTTTATATTTGTTCCAATACATACAAAGGGAATAAACAGTGTATAGCAAAACATGTGTTAATGCAATACCTTTTTTGTGTGAAATACTTGATTTTCAGGAAAAATATCAAGGGTGCCAACAATTTCGGCCATGACTGTATATTTTCAACCAGGTATTTATGTTGTTAACCTGGAGTTCCAGTTCTAGCTTATGTGAGCAGCCAACTTCTACGTACTATAAGAGGAAAAAAAACAAGATCAAGTTTCTCCTTTAATCACTACTCTAGACTTACCAATAAAAGCATTGGGAATAGTTATCTTAAGCCACATCCTATCCCGTACTTCCAGCCCAGATTCTGGGGAGCTCATAGCTTTTACAATCGTTACCATATCACTATGTATGGATAAGTGGAAATCATCAAAACCTTTAAAGAAATAGAAGGCAGGACATGAATAGGGAGAAGGTGCACACACACAAAAATAGATAAATTGCTTAACAATGCTATGCATAATTTAAAGACATCTTGTTTTTCTGTGCAGAAATGTCAAACCAGCAAATTACAATATACAGCTCTAACACTTAATTTCTTATAAATGGTCAATAAAAGTGACTTCACACCTCCCATACAGTGTACCAGAACGAAAAATTCGCCATTGTACAAATCATACTTACGCTCAGTTTCTGGGATAGAGCTTGTAATCGAAGAACTAGTTGACGTGATTGTACTCATGGATGGACTCATTCCATAGGCTGGGTAAGTACCAGTCATTGCTGCTGTGTGAGAAACCCAAGCTGCTGGATCAATAGGTCGGATTGGTTCACCTAGTAATGAGACAGAAGATGTAAAACAAGTAAAGAGCACATTAGAATAAAAAGCAAGCATTGAGATCTGCATTTGACGGAGTTGTAACAATATAGTTTATTGACTGAACTCAAGGCCACCCAAAAATAAGATTTCTTTACTTACCCTAACATCTATTTATTGGATTCTATTGAAATAGAGGGGGTAATCACAAACAGTTAAGTTATACTGCCACCTATAGAAAGTCTGGATGCAGGTAAAGAAAATACTGTAAGCCAGCCCCTGTATAACCCCCCACTCTACCCAGCATATCTAAGTTTTGTGGAAAAGAAGTACAAAGGGCAAAGCAAAAAACAAGGAAGGGTGGACTCATATAACAGTATGGACTCCAAGAAACAGATTTTATGACAGGGACAAATAACCTATTTTCTCTCATTCATCGACAGGCACAGAAATTCACAAACAGTCAGGACATCCAAAAGTAGTCTAACGGAGGTGTGGGCAACAGCCCTGCCCCTGACCGGTCCATAAGAATGGACTGAGAACTGTCTGCAAATCATAAATAACTGAAGGACCAACTCAAAAATCTGAACCAGATAAGGAGAAGCCCCTTGTGAGACCAGGGCAAAAGAGATCATCAAAGGGCAATGACTCCACAAGAAGGATCAGCGAGCTAGAACAAACGAGACACTATGAAATGTATCCCCACAGAGGTTTAAAAAAAAAAAAAAAAAAACAAAACATAACCATGTGATAAGGTGTCAACAGAAAAGAACACTGGGACAAGGCCTCAGGAGAACAGCTCCCTAGGGGGGAACCCTGGACGAAAAACAGAGAAGACTAGTCAGTCTACATGTGAGGGCCTCGAGCCTTGCACTACCAAACCTCAAGATTAAGGGTAGGACATTCCCATGATAAAAATGAGGTTGTGTGGCCAGGTAACCAAACATGCTAAAGCAATATCCAAAAATGTGGGACTCCTCACAGCTTAATATCCCATAAGGATAGCTAAGTGATCGGTAGAGAAATCAAAGCTACCAACTAAAGTCAGAGTGAAAGAAGCACCCCCATTGCCTCGAGAATCTCTCTCACCTGCAGCGCAGAACATGGGTCTAGGAATCTTCTAGCCCGTTTGTGTCTAGAAAAGAATCTATAGTCTGAGAACTGGGCCAGAATCTTAGCAACACTGCTAAGGACATCCACCCATGTAAGGGCAGAACTGAGGCAGGAATCTGGAAAAATTTATTCAAGAGGCTAAAGATTACCTATTAAGCCAGACCCATCTCCAGGTGATCAGGTCCCTTGAAGGCCTTCGGTAGACACAAGATGGATGATCCTTTAGAATCAATTTAAAGAATTAGGCTGCAAGTAGAAGAGAAAGACCACCGAGGTTATATCCTCAGGAATATTGACTTTTGCCATGCTCAACACAGGAAAGATAGCAGGGGCTTCAACTAAATGTAAGAGGGAAGGATTTGGGTTTTTAGAGCACTGAGCTTTGCTGCATGAAAAGCATTCTGATAGAATTTGTACTCTGGCTTCATTCTTCTTGATTGGACTGTTAATATTCCTATCTTTGCGCTATTTCAGAGACAGAAGAAGAAGAAGAGGTGGCGGCAGCTATAGCTGGCCATACATGGTTCAGTATTTTTTGTTCAACCAGTGGGCTGAACAAAAATTAAATAGATTCCCCCAGCCACTGTATTTTGATAGTGGGACTTCCCTGCCGTCAGAATACACTGAACAACGCTGCAGCTAATTGGTTGCAATCGCTGATCAAATGGAAATTTTCCAGCATGACTGTTCATGACAGTTGACCGAAAGATCAACTTATTAGCAGGATGGCCATATATGGATTGGAATTCAGACAGTTCAGTAGGAACCAGACAAATTTCGATCCATCCAAATGAGAGGCACCTGAGCTAAATTTCAAGTGTTGCAGAGTGTCTGAATACTTATGCCAATGTGATATTTCAGGTTTTTATTTTTAATAAATTCACATTTTTAAAATTCTGTGTAAACTTTGTCATTATGGGGTACTGAGTGTAAAATCATGAGAAAAAAAAAATTAATTTAAACAATTTCAATTTCTGAATGTAGTGTGTGTGTGTAATATATATATATATATATACACACACACACACAGTACTGTGCAAATGTTTTAGGCAGGTGTGAAGAAATGCTGTAGAGTAAGAATGCTTTCACAAATATGTATTTTGATTGTTTTATCGTACATAATGCAAAGTTTGCGAAAATACAGAACCAATTCTTGCACTTGCACACGTTATACATTTGCACACAGTCAGATTTTGTAGGGTCAGAGTCAGGTGTATGATTAAACAATTATATCAAGCAGGTGCTAGTGATCATCAATTTCATATGTAGACTGAAACACTGTCATTAACTGAAACAGCTGTGTAGAAGGCTTTAAACTGGGTGAGGAACAGCCAAACTCTGCTACTAAGCTGAGGTTGTGGAAGGCTGTTTCATGTCACAGGTCATACACATGGCAAGACTGCTCACAGCAACAAGACACAAGGTAGTTATACTGCATTAACAAGGTCTCTCCCAGGCAAAGATTTTAAAGCAGACTGGTGTTTCAAGGTGTGCTGTTCAAGCTCTTTTGAAGAAGCACAAAGAAACTGGCTTTACTGAGGACCGCAGATGCAGTGGTTGGCCAAGAGAACCTAATGCAGCAGATGAGACACATCATGCTTACTTCCCTTCAACATCAGAAGATGTTCAGCAGTGCCATCAGCACAGAACTAGCAGAAACTAGTGGGACCCAGGTACACCCCATCTACTGTCTATGGAAGAATTGCAGCCAACATAAAAAACGCACGAAACCATAGGAACTGGGAGGAAAGAAAAATAGCAGCTGGTGCTCTGGGCTGATAAGTCAAAATCTGAAATATATAACTGTAGCAGAAGGCAGTTTGTTCACAAAGGGCTGGAGAGCAATACAATAATGAGTGTCTGCAGGCAACAGTGAGGCATGGTGGAGGTTCCTTGCAAGTTTGGAGCTGCATTTCTGCAAAGGGAATTGGAGATTTGGTCAGAATCAGTGTCCTCAATGCTGAAAAATAAAGGCAGATACCTTATCCATCATGCCATACCATCAGTGAGGTGTGTGATTGGCCTCAAATTTATTCTGCAACAGGACAATGACCCAAAACACACAGTCAATGTAATTAAAAACCATCTTCAGGCCATGAAGAAACTGCCTGGGGTCTGATCCACACTATACCACCCCGCAAGCTTTTACCTGGCCTTGCTGTTGGCTCCCGGTCAGTGTTGTGCGTTGTCCCCCCTGTGCTGGTGGTCACGTGGCGGCCTGCTGCAGTGGTGAGTCCTGCCAAAAGAATTGAGTGGCTCGGATCCCGGAGCCCTTGGAGCGATGGTGTCGGCCGACGGGGGAACTCCCCGGAGCACAGGAGACCCTGGGAAAGGAGGTGCCCGAGCGGGGAAGAACCCCAGGGGAGACTTTCCGTGCAGAGTTGCAAAAAGGCAGGCTGGCTGGATCACACACTGCAGGGATCCAGAGGCCAGGAGATACCAGAAGATATAGGATATCTGGACACAGGACATCTTGTGCCCCCACCTAGACCCCCCCCCTCAGGTAATACTACGAACTGGCCCCCCTCAGGTAATACTACGAACTGGGACACGAGACCCCAACGGGGGCAGAAGAGAGCACAGCACAGAGACAGACAGACCCAAATCCTCAGGCTTGGAAGGTGATGGTGAGTTGCCGTGGGCAACGGCAAGAGATTTAAAGTTGTTATTGCTCTCTGTTGCTAAGTAATTGTATACCTGAGTTGGGGGCTGGGCGGTCAGAAGATTAAGGAGTCAGGGTATCTCAGGGGACAAGTATTGCTGCTAATAACGTGCGCTATACATGATTTTCAGGACTTGAAAAGTTACTGGAAATGGGCCCCCCTGGAGGTGTGAGAATATTGTACTTTGAACAATGAGTGGAATATCTGCAATCAAGCGTAGTTAATATGCGGAGTAATCATACTAATGAATCTATAAGTACTGACAGCATAAACTATCAAAACACCTCTGAACAACAGGGAGTCATATCACAAATTCCCAAAAAACAGATGGAGGAAATGTTTGCAAAACTGGAACTTTCTATGAAAAATGAAATGGTGGTGATCCATAAGTATCTTGGACGAAGAGGTGGAAGAAGTGAAGGAGAAAATAGAGACACAGGCTCAGCAGATATCTAACCTGGAAACACAGTTGGAGGAGATGCAAAGGGAACAGAGGAAGCGGTCATACAAATTGGAAGATCAAGAAAATAGAGAGAAGAAATCTAAAGATCAGGGGCCTCCCAGAAGATGCGCATGAAGAGGACCTCAGGGAAAAAGTAAAGAAAGTGTTCAATCCATTGACCGGTAGATTAGTCACAGGACCTCTGAAGATCAAGAGAATACATAAATTAAGACGCCCACCAGGAGTAACATCAGACACCCCTAGAGACATGACTGTCTGATTCCATGATTAGGAGGACAGAGAAAAAAAAAAAAAAAAAAAATATGGAAAAAATTGCAGGAGACCCCAGAGTTAAAATTTGGAGAAACGAAACTACAAGTCTTTGCAGACATCTTCTGAGACATTAGCTAGAAGAAGATTGTTGAAACCCTTATTGGATCAGATGAAGGAAAAAGAATTCTATATAATTGTGGATTCCTGGCCTGTCTGATTGGGTGGAAAGACAGGAAATCAGCAAGGTTAAGATTACCAGAACTGAGTGACTTTTGTGAACAAATTAGAACTGCAGAATGTGGAAACTGTGGGATGAATGGAGGGGTCAAATGAAAGTGTAAGGTCAAAAAAAAAAAAAATGGCAGCCAGCTTTTTTTTTTCTTTAGCTCTCCCCCTCCCAGTGTTTTTCAGCAGGTCTTTGGGGAAAATAAGCAGAGTCGGCAGGGCATTGGGAGGCCAAAGCAGGATTTCAAGCACTTAAGCCCCATGCTGAGAGAGGGGGGGGGGGGGTAGGAGTAGGTGTTCA